GCTAGTGGAAATTCAGTCTCAAAGTTTCAGGATCAAATGGTTTCCATGGAAACAAGAAACAATTTGGATAGTAAATTTTACTCTTTCATTCCCAGGAGAGATTCAAAGGAAATCCCCTTACAATATAAAGCAGAAGGGAAGGAAGAAATATATCAATTGGGATGTTTTTTTGATTTAGCAACAAATTCTTAGTAAAAAGATAAATAAAATGTGGAATGTGTGGAAGACAGTACAGAGAAATGATATTTTGATCTTGGAAGTGAAAGGGTGGCAGGTGCAAAAAGAAATTTCCATACGGAAAACAGAAAAGACAAGCTTGTCATGACAAGCAGGAAATAAATTATTCTTAACACGTTAAGAAACTTATGGGCACCACAGGAAATATTTGTAATCAACAGAGGAAATAAGCAGGGTGTCAATAAGGATAATTATCACAAAATTAGTCTGAGAAGAGACGCATGTTCAGATAAAACCACAAAAATGACAATGAAGTTTTTCTCTCAACTTTGAAATATCACTAATTATCTAACTTTTAAAATTTAACATGAGAATAATTTAGGAAAGCTTACGTCAAATGGCATGCAAAGTAAACATTACTCAAATATAAAATTACACAAAAATTTCCTGTGGTCGGGAAAAGCGGATGAAAAATATAAAACTAAATATTTAGGAGAGATTAAACTTAGCATAATAATTGCAATGATCCAATCTATCATTTACCGAAAAAAAATTCAGACTAACAATCCTTTGAACAAAAACACTGAGAGCATATTAAACTGTTTTGTGTTGCCTCATTTTAATGTGATCTTTTCCTAGAATCAAGAGATCGCGGCCCGCAGTTTTAAGGAAGGCAGGTTTTTTTAACGATTATTGCAAAAATAAATCATCCATAACATTGTGCCTTTTTAAGAGATGAATGCAAGATTCAATTAGTGGTTAATATAACCTTGCAGTTATCTTGTTTTCGCTAGGCTTTTGTGTAATCCCAAACACAACACAAATGAAGACAATAGTTAACTAATCGACTCATTAACATCACCTTCGCAACCCGCTGGTTTGTTACTGCAATTGATACTGACCTTTCGAAAATGTTTTTGCTGATTTAATTTTGTTTATAGTTAGCTCTTCATTCAAAACCAACTTCGCTTTTGTTCAACAGTGTTGAAAGTTTCACACAACAACCTTTCAAATTTTCAGCTGTTCACTTGAACATAAACAAAACGCGTTCTCACCGTGAATCTTCCATCAAGAGGTTCATAAGCCCCCACAGCATGTCCTCTGAGCCAGGATGATTTAAAAACAAGTAACTGCATAGCTCTTTGTCACTGTGAAGCTCGTGAACCAGCCGGTCGAGAACGTGCGGAGTTTGCAGGTTGTGCCGAAAGAGGCTCGTCAAATCTTTGTTCAAAGTGCGCCCAGCTTCTGCTAATAACAGCATCGTTATCGACAACTGCTATCTGAGGGAGTTTAAGTCCAACACCAAAGATTGCCACCTTTTGAAGCGCGACATTTTTCAAAGAGCACACGGTTTCATAGAAACCTTTTCACACCTCTAATCCTTAGTTTCCTTACTTGGTGTTTATTTGATCACGAACGGCCCGCTTCTTTACATTTCTAACAGATATTTTGATTGGTTTGCTATTAACGTGCAGCTAAACTGACCAATCAGGCGGTAGAAAACAAATGTCCGCACTGGAATACAATAACAGAAGGAAATCCAGAATTGAATATCCTTTGTTTAGGCTTACAAAAATAAACAATAACTAAATAAAATCGAATGAAATTGTTATATAGGAAAAATATTTGTTTATTTTGGTACACCTTAAAAGAAACCAATCATATCATTATCACAAACAGACCTCCTAGGAGGAAGGGGTGGGAGAGGAGGGGGGGAGAGGAGGGGGGGAGCAAGAGAAATAGTTCCGACCCTTCACAAGTCCATCAAAACTCTACCTGTATCATGCTGTAAGACGTTCAGTGTTAAATGTTTCACTTCAAAGAGACAAATCCTCCCAAATACCAATCACCGATTTTTGTTTCTTTTTCTTTCCGTGATTTCTTTTTTCTCTTTTTTTTTTGCGAAAATCGAAGGTGAAGGTAGTTGTTTTGGTTTTGCAGCGGATATGTCGTGGTGAGGGTTGGGAGGGGGACGGAACATTAGAGAGGAGTACTGATTTTAACCCCTCCTTGCTCTTCCCACGTAATCAAAAACTTTCAAATACTACCTTTGTTCTTATTCATTAAAGCAAAGTAGGGTTAGGGTAAAAATTATACCCGAGTCTGAAATAATTTTTAATTTTTCCGTTTCAATTATCATAAACTTTGAACCAGTAGAATTTATATTGTATAAGTGGTTTTTCTTGAATTAGGGCGATATGGCGGAAGAAAAATTAAAACTCGAATTTTGGCCTTCAGTTTTCAATATACCTACCCTGTCTTGAGGCCCTACAAACGGGAGACGAAAGATGAGCAAATAAAATGCTAAAGTGCAAACTGTCTTTGCTGTGCTTAATATTAAATTGACTCTTACTCAGTGAAATCCCCATTCTAGTACTACTGATATCTTCAAATTTTGTGAACTCCTGTAAGTCCATGGTATATGACCTTTCATCACTTTCTTTCCAAGCAATCTTTTCATTTCTACTCAACATTGGTCATTCACCTTCCCGCAAAGGTGCGCTTGCTTTTTGCTGAACTAGGTGTCGGAGATGATACCGAGCCAAATCAATAAGATCAAAGTGATAAAAGTAACAAATAATAATAAACTGTCCAACTTCTGACAACTGATCCAAGCAAATCAACCAAGCATGCAGCCCGCGAAGTGCTCTAAGAACATAACCAAATCATGAATTTGATTGTGAATGGACTAATTACAAAATTGCCTGTTTGTACGCAAGACTCACATGCCGGAAAAAGTGACCAAGCTGGTTCGGTCAAGATGGCTGGATATAGGCCGGGTTTTCTTTTCGAGTTTTTATGGAGCGAGACGTGGTCGAGGTCTGTAAAGAACGCGAAAAGAGAACGAGACTAATATTTAGCCATCTTGATCGAACCAGCTTGGTCAGTAAATAATTTATCATAAAGCAAAAATATTTCGCTTCATTGAGTACCAAGAATGACTTGTTTATTACGAGAAACGGGAAGGAAAGCCAAATGTGTTTTAGCACAAAAAACCCACGAGCGTCGTTTATGTTTTCTTCATTTTGACTGTCTTTAACTGCTTTTGAAACTCCACGCCCACACTGTCCAAAAATGACGAGCTTTTGAGCGAGTTCGCTCCGAGCAATTTTCCCTCTAGCGCGGGACCCATGCGGGCATTTAGATCCCGAGCGGGCAAGATGGGCCCATCTTGCCTGCTTGGTCAGCCAATCAAGACAGAATTCACTTAATATTGCCACTGACAGCAATATAATAATTAAAAGTATCATCATCACTACCATTGTCATCGATATGATGATAACTATCATCAACATGAGTACACAAAGGTGGGGGGAGCCTGAAGGCCTTCAAGCCGCTCGCTGTGTTTGATCCCAGATCTAAGAAGCCCCAATCTCTATAAATCTCTCTACATGGCAGCTCGAAAAATTAATGAACCCCTCGGAACATTTGGAAGCTTATAAAATCTTATAAGGACGTTTGTGGAGACCAACATACATCAAAATGCATATCCCTAGGACCCATTTCCCTTTCAGAGCAGCTTGTGGGAGACGATCACATGATGGAACGATCTAATTGAAAGACATTTTTAAATGTAGATTCTTTTTTCTTAGATTCTTTGGGCGACTGAAGGAATCAAGCGAACAAAACTGGCCTTTGGAGACAATAGCTACTGATCCGCAAAAAGGGAAGAGATTAAAGAATATAAAAGAAAAAATTCCTTGCCCAGACGCAATTCTAAGAGTACTTGAGCTAGAAATTCAAAATATGCGTGGAATGTAAAATACCTGCTCTTAAATAAAAAGGGAATTAATTTAAAAATGCTGAAGTAAGCCATACGTGAATGATGCTATGATGAAGGTTGGGTAAAATTTCCAAGGAAAAAAGTGTTACATTTTGCTTCCTTAAAAAATACAGTAGACTATGGGTCTTGTAGGAATCCTTTGAAAATATTTGAGTTATGTACATAGTTCAAAGTTACCAAACGGGGAATCCCCGACGAGGAGCTGTGCTGTAGTGAACAAGTGACGTCACAGTTTTCTTTGTTGACGGTTTTCCTTCGTGAATTACTAGCTCTTAGCAGTTCAGCCAATTTTCGAACCTACAATCAACTCTATACATATACAAAGGTAATTTTTCTCTAATTCGATCGATGGGTTGAACAAATATTAATTTATGTTTTTCTCTATCGAGGTACTATAAGAGCGAATTTGATACTAGAAGTACATTTTACATTTTTCTACTTCATTTTACAGTTTTCTATTTTAGGGAAACGAGCGATGAACTTTCCTCCTGTATATTTGTCCATATCCTTCTTTAAGAGGGACACGATGTTAATCTCAAAATTTTTTGCGATTTTGGTAAGTTGCAGTGTCAGCAATTATTGTAGGAAAATACTAAAGGAAAACGTCAGATCGTTGTCTCAACGAAAACTTTCAAATCTCCATTACGCTCTCGTTCCAAAGTGCACGATGGCAGCCTTCAGTAATTAAGCTAAGCTAAACGTATCTCGCAACAAATAAGTACGCAGAAAAAACAAGTCGTCGTCGCGAGACATTTATGTTTCATGTAATCTATATGTTTAAATCTGACCCTTCTGATTTTAGCTACTTGTATTGTTTCTTTGGTAAATAACCGACCACATTTCTCCGAATTTTAGTGAATTCCAACTAATGGACTCTCTTTTGGTAGCGAGACTTTCGATTTAATATTTCTCCAGGACCATGTCTAAGGCAGATAGATCACTTTCTTAAAAGGAAAACAGAGAGGTTTTTCTCTGCTTGTTTGTTCTTCACACCTTCTTGATGTTGTCTTTTATTCCTCAGGTATTTCTTGCACTTTCAACATTCAGTGCTGGTAGAGGTATTAAAGGCCAGTGCCCAGATTGCATTGAGGAAGGATATATCAAGATCATAGATCCTAAAACTGGCAAGTGTGAAGGATGCTGGCCTTGTCCCGAATGTCAGGAGGGTGCAGGTTCCTCTGTTCAGTGTGGATCAACTGTACCAAAGGGAACAGACATTCACTGTGTTTCTTGCACCATGGGCATAAACTTCTCTAACAGCCTAAGTACTGAAAAGTGCAAACCTTGTGGAGTCTGTTCAGGGAAGCACAAGCATGTCTCAGCTGAATGTACCCCATCTAGTGATGTGCAATGTGAATGTGACAATAGATTTTATCAAAACAAAACAACCCATGAATGTCAGTCATGTGATTCCTGTTGCTTCACAGATGCTGATGATGACATCATTGAAAAATGTCAGAAAGATGCAGAAATCAAAGAGGATGAACAATCCATGTTCAGCCCCTCTACAGTCATTGCAACATCCTCATCTTTATTCAAATCAGTCAAGATCCATACAGCTATAACTCCTTTTCTTCAAAGCCTCACTAGTATTTCAGTTCCTTCAAGGACCCAGCCAATCCAATCTTCATCAACAAGTGTTTCATCTGCAAATCAAAAGCATGATGTGGTACCTACAGAAAGTGTGATCATTATGCCTGTACACAAAACAGTACATGAACATGCTGAAAGCATGAGGTGGATCAAAGGAATAGCATACATTCTGGGTGTTTTTATTTTCATCATACTCTGTTGTTTTTTAATCTACCTGTTTAAAAAGGTAAGGAAAAACAGACAAAGCAGAAGTGTACAAGTAGTCGAATTTTCTCCTTTAAATCAGAGTGAAGAAGACAGCCCTGATACAAGAAGGAAGATTAATGGGCAGTGCACCCATGGTACTGATGGATCAAGAAGAAATTCAAATACAGTTTACTGTAATAAAGATCATGAGGTTGTAACAGGAGATCAGTTTGAGAACATGGCTGAGAAAGACTCAGTTCAGAAAGGAATTCCATCATCCCTTGATGATAAACCCTCAAATTCCACAGATGAAGGTCAGTGAAATTAGGGAAAACTAATAGTTCATTAACTGATCTAATTTTTCAATTGAATAATTAGAAATCTAAGGGTTAATTACTGAGGCAAAATCATGATAGCTCTGGAGAAATATAAAACAGTGCCATTTGAAGTGATTGTGATCTCTATATAACAGAAACAATCATGTTAAGTATTTTCCTTATTTATACAAGTAATTCCATAATTAATACTTTTTACTATTTCCTCCTTTGAAGGATGAAGTCATTTATTTTGTTTCTGTTTGGCAAGAAATATTTTAGAATTCAAGTCTCTAGCCTTCAAAATGATTCTTCACAGGATGAGATCCTCACTTACAGTGAATTTTGACAAAGTAAACTCCTGGTCTACAAACCTACAAGAAAAAATTTTAGATATGAAATTTTGCCACCACTGTTAGTGACATGTCTCATAATTTATTTGAAAATGTGATGCTAATTTTTTCATTTTTGATTTTGATCCATTAGTTGCTAATATGCAAGGGGAAAACCATAGAGCAGGCTGTAACTTAATTCCACCTCTTCAACCTGAGAAGGATAACCTTGGGTATTCAACCTACATAACAGATGTACCTCTACCTATCATCGGTGAAATGTGCAGGCTACTTGACATTGAAAGAGTCACAGATGAGAATGATTATAGAATGCTGGGATATGAACTTGGCCTTAAATCATCAGAGATCACCTCAATCAAACAAAAAAGTAACAACCCATCGCGTGTGCTACTAATGGAAAAGTTTGCAAGCAAGCCAAACTCTGGAACACTTAATCACCTCATATCCTTATTAACAAAACTTGAGCGACATGATGTGATTCAGGTTATAGATGAATGGGTGCAAAATCAAACATTGCCCACAAATTAGAAATTGGTCTGTAGATGATTGAAGTTCACTTAACCCTCTTAAACTCCCAGAAGTGATTAACATGAAATTTCCTCCTGTCATATCCATACATTATCCAGCAAACAGGTAATGAGAAAATTCAAACTCATCAGGTAGAAGTTTTATCTTCATCTAACACCAAATTTCTTGTTACTAATTTACAAAGAAATGTGTAGCAGCTAGGGAGAAGAATGAACAATCAGAACTTGGGAGTTAACCCTTTAACTCCCAAGATCTGATTGTTAATTCTCCCCTCTAAATTAGTTATGAGAACTTGGTACTAGATTTAGATAGCAGCTTCTACCCAGTAAGTTTGAATATTCTCATTACCTGTTTGCTGAATAATGTATATATATTGTGGGGAGACGTTTTATGTCAATCACTTCTGGGAGTTAAAGGGTTAACCAAGCCAAAAAAAGGGAAAATCTTTGTTTCATTCCAAAACTACAAAAAGTCTCTCAAGGTCAAATGTTGCTTGTTGTCCCTTGCTGTTATGAACAGTACTGGTTTATTTGGATCCAAGATAATGACCAGCTCCCAATTGGCTTTTAAGCTCAGTTGGTAGAGGAC